AGTTTAGATGAGCAAGAACCCTAACCCTAACCCTAACCCTAACCATAACCCTAAACCTAACCCTAACCCTAATCCTAACCCTAACCCTAACCCTAACGCAAAAAAGGGGCTTGAACGACCGACGGCTACCGTACCTCCAGCCACTGCGTATTATTTTTGGCTAATTTTGTTTTATTTTAGAATTAGGGATAGGGTTAGAATTAGTGTTAGGGTTAGGGTTAACTGATTTCTATATCCACAACTTATTTCCACAAGTCTGGAAAGAAAGCCGGAAAACGCAAGGTAATTGAAATACCGGATGGGCGGTATCATCCTGTATCATCTAGTTCTGATGAATGCGAACATGACAATGAAGAAGAAACCTGTCGAATCTGTCACAGCTTCAACTATGGGAGGTTGAGAAGTATCGACTGGGAACACTGCGACAATTGTGACAATTGGTTTCATGAACTTTGTCTTCAGGACGAAGGGGCATGCAGTGCAACTTCATTTTGCAACTGTCAGAAGTAGTTTCCGAACAATCAATAAAGACATTCGTCTGAGAGTTACCGTATCACATTAAAGTTTTCAGAAAAACCAAATATTTGTATTGTTTGAACAGTTTTGTTTGTAGTTTGAATAGATTTGTAGCTTATGATTCTTTTAAACAAATAAAAATTATCAGTCACCTAAATACGTTGTTATTTTGATATCAAATGGTTTATATATTGGTTATCAAAGTCACCCCGACCTCGGGGTGACTTTGATATTTGTTGGGGGTTTAAAAAAAATATGAAGACAAAATCTGATGAAAATTGTGATGCGGGCTATAGATAGCCAATTTAAGAGGCACATTGTTATTACTATTAGTATTAGTTGGAAGAATCAAGGATGAAAAAACGTTTATTCTACTCAAAAGTAACAAAAAATTCCAAAAAACTATCAAAGTCATCCCGGTTGCCGGTACCAAATCCAAGGACAAGGGTGTCACTTTCCCCCAGGCGTAGATGGAAGGTAACGTGATGTGGCTGCACTTGTGTTAGGATTAGGGTTAGGGAAATAAGGCCATGTCTAGCACGGAAGTATGACTGTAATCTTTCTGTGGAAGATTTGGACTTTGAAGCGAACGAAGTGACTAGTGTAGTGCCTGCCAGTGGTACTGTTAGTGCTGCCACGTAACTGCCCACCCTCCATCTACGCCCGATCTACATCTCACCGACGACGGCGATAACGATTACGATCGATAACTTGACAGCGATAGCGCGTGCGTGTGTGCGCATTCGACTACGACAACGGCGACGGCGACGGTAACGACAGTGACGATTGTTCAGCGACTGGGCAACAAATATCAAACATGTTTGATATTCCAGCGGCGAGTTTCTGGCGTCAAAATCGGTGACGCCGGGCAGCGCACACGTGGCGATTTCTCGGCGATTTTGTTGCTGGCAATAGAATCGCTGGTACTGTCGATATAAATTGCCACGTGTGCGCCGGGCTTTATTCAACGTAACGCGAGTCTAGCGGGCAGGGGTGGGAGTTGCCCCGCTGTGTGTGTGTGCGTGTCGTTACTCGTCCCGCACTGTTGACCAAAGATCGTATAGTGCCGGAGGCCTATACGTATCGGGCCTATACCTATCGTATAGGCCTCCGGCACTATAGTATACGATTTTTGCTGTTGACTAACTATTAAGGTGGTGGAGAAGGTGGCAGGCAGGTGGAGGAGAAGGTGGCAGGGAGGTGCCCTTCTCCCTGGCACCACCTTGTCCCTTCTCCACCACCTTCACCACCACCTTCTCCACCACCTCCTCCTTTTCCACCACCTTCTCCCTTCTGCCCTTCTTCATTCTCCACCAGCTTCTCCCTTCTCCCCTTCCTCCTCCTTCACCATCTTCTTCACAGCTCGAAGTGACGTCACGAACACGCGATTACATCTGATTGGTTATAACACAAACCACGTGACAAAATATGCAAATTATCTCCTGTACCGGCCTGAATATAGACAACCCCCAAACTCCACGACAGATGGTGCTCTCGCTCTGGCTCTACTCTGGCTCTACAGATGGCGCTCTCGCTCTACTATTATCCTGAGTGTGGGAAGGGGCACTGCATGCAGTTTGGACAACCCCTAGCCCAAACTGCATGCAGTGCCCCTTCCCACACTCAGGATAATACGAGAGAATTACCTCACCGGATAATACCTTACCTTACCGGATAATACCAGTAGAATTGAGCCAGAGCGAGAGCGCCATCTGTCGTGGAGTTTGCCCCTAGCCATTAAGTGTCGACCGGTGGCGCCATCGGGTGTCACCGGGAGACGCGAAACGCTACAATATATATATAACTGAGTCTGTACCACTGATCTCTATAATATCAAGAGTAGATAAATAACATGTTATTTATCTACTCTT